TGTTCTTCGATGTCTGATACCTGATCCTATTGACACCTCGTGATCACACAGGGTGATGTGGTTCTTCCATATGGGTTTTGTTGCTTCTCAGCTAGATGGCTGCTTGTTTGTCTTCAAGCCTTTCGGGCTCCAAATGCTATATCTTGATTGCTGGGCACCATCAGCTTTCTTCACCACATTTGTTTATGCACACATTTTGCCTTCAGTGATCGTGTCAGGAAGGTGAGCATGTGGATTATTTTTCTTAAGGGTTTAATTAGTTAAGTAACATTAGGCATTTCTCAATGGTTGCACAAAAAACAATCTGTAAATATGACACATGTGACTGGGTGACAATAAAACAAGATTAACCATCTCCATGAAAATAAAACTGGCAGTCATAAAATGAATATGATTGAGCAAAATTTATAAAGGTAATTTAATCTATTAACCAAAGATCTCTCTCTTTAAGACTGCAATGCTCATACACTACTAGTAGGATCGTAAAATGGTCCAATTCCCATAGAAAAGAGAATGGTGCTTTCTCAAAAAGTTAGAATTACAGATTCCACATTATCCAACAACCCCACTACTACCTACATATTTTAGAGAAATAGGAGTCTTAACACAGATAGAAATATGCACACCCATGTTCATGGCATCATTATTCACAAGAACAAAAAGAGGGAAACACTAAAAAAATCAAAATCGACTATGCGTAAACTGACTTTGGTACATTCATACAATGAAATACAGTCAAAGGTAATCATAATAACTTCTTGCAACATTGATAGCATGGATGTACCTGTAGGACATTATACTGTGTGAAATAAATCAAGACACAAAAGAACAGATATGAGAACTTTTATAAAAAGTCCAGAAAAAAATTATACACAGAAATGCCCTTTGATGATTGCAAAGTTTGAGAGGACTTAGAAGGGAAAAATCACTAACTAAAGTGTACACATGGATTAAACTGGGTGAAGAGAAAGGCATTAGACACTAAGGGAGAGGTCAGCACAGCATGACCAAGGGAAAGGAGAGTCTAGGAGGCATGCAGGAGTAAAAGACAACGATAAATACTATTGGCTGTAGAATTGTGAAATCAAGAATAATAATTGAGCAAATGTATAGATATTCAAGTTGAATAGGTGTGGGATGTTGTATGGGACTATGCTTACATGTATACATAGGTTTGGCAGAGGAGATTTACACATATGTATGAGGGGACTTCAAAAAGCATTTGGAAAAAAATGTTATCCTTTCATTCCATTTTCCCAACAACTTTTTGAAATATTGGTTTACTACAAATATATCCCCACATATAGTAGAATATGCATGCACATAGTAAAGAATATGAAGCTGGACAGCCTTATTAGCCATAACCAAAACCTTTAGCCACTGGGCTTGGGAGCTTTGGGATCATAGTTTTGTGGGATGTAAGTTAATGGGTATAACGTAATGTACAGAGACAACATTCTATATCTCACTCTGCTGAATAGCAGCTAGCCTCAAAAGCTTACAGCGGTCATCTAAACTGCGACTGTTGGTCTCCTCCTTTCTGGAGCAAAGAGTGAAGAAAATTAAAAACCCAGGGTAACAACTAGTCCAAATGACCAGTGGATCAAGACAACCAGGACCCACTGATCTGAGACCCAAAGAACTAGTTGGTACCTGGCTACCTCTATCAATCACGCTGAGCAGGGTCACAATACAAGATTCTCCATAGAGTGAGAGAAAAATGTACAACAAAATGCAGAACTATATTCAAGTCAATTACTTGTCTGATAGAGACAGGTGGAACATACAAGACTACAGCCCTTGAATGTTCTTCAAACCTAGAATTTGACCTAACCCCAGGCTCACCTTTCAACCAAACAATTAACAGGCCCATAAAGCAAACTATACATGTAAACTATACATGTGAGGAATATGCTCCTCAGGACAATAGACCTCCAAGTCCAAAATGACAGCATTTGGTTAAAACAATTCAGAAATTGCAAGGGGCTGAAAGGGAAGACGGAGAGCAATACAGACTATAGAGAGGACATGGGAAGAGGACTGCCCTATTGAGGAGGTTGCAACTGATATCTTAGAAACAAAATGTATATGAAGTGTTCAATGGGAGGCAGATCTGCTTTATTAACTCTTAGCCAAATGGCAATACAATGTTTTTAAGAAGAAAAAAAAATCTCTCTATTGACATTAGAAAAATCCATTTCAGGGAAGTTCAGCCACAGATACTGATTTTTTTCTTCTTTTCCTGCTACAAAATGTGCGCCCAGAGGGGACCAAAATAACTGAGCCAACAATGAACAGGACAGTGAGAATTACCCAGGTGTACTGTTAACATCCTCAGAAAGACCAAGGACACGGTGCTTTTCATGCCAGCTACCCAGGGTGACCTTAGTCAATTCTCAACAATGGCACTGTCATAGCTTCTGTCTTTTTATGATGGTGTTTTCCTATTTTAAATTGTCATTTATCACAGACAAAGTACCAAAGTACCGAGTAATAATTCTGCATTGCTGAACCTCAGTTCCATCTGTAGCAGGGTTCATAATCTGAGTTTAGGATAATAAACTTAAAACTGTACTATTTGCCTTTCAATTCTAACTTTAGGTTGAGCTCCAGAATACGTACCTATTTCCCACTAGAAGAAATATTGCTTTTAAAAGACCTTTTTTTCTCTCTAACTAGAGGACTGTGAATTGAACTGTACTTGACCACCCGTGATCACTAATTGAACTATATGGTAGTGTTGTTTAAAAATCCTGGGAATTTGTAGTCAGATCTCAATAATAGACCCGGTTTTGGATGACATTCTTTCATTCCTGTCTCATCACAAATGTAACACCTCTAAGTTGTCAAGTACTCAAAGAAATGTTACCACCCCACCCTACCTAATATATCTTCCTGCCCCGGTCTCCTCTTTTGTGCTACATTCTTTTAACAGCACTGATCACTATGTAAAAGTATCTGACTTATTTTGTTTACTCGTTTATCTACTTATTTGAAAGAGAGTATTAGCCTCAGGAGCCCAGATAACGCTTTCTGTCTTGTCCTTAATCCTCCACAAATCTTCAAAATCAGATGTTCTGTAAGAAATGATCAAGTCAGCAAATAAAGTGCCCCTCCTTCCCATCCAATAAATAGTGTGTTTCTCACACATAATTTTAAGCTTCATTATCACAAGCCACCTAAATAGCCAAATGACGTTGTTGTTAAGTATACCAGATATTGCCATGTCCAAGGATATGCTGGGTATTTCCGTGTGAAAATGGATGAAGACTGTCAATATAGACTTGTCCGTTCATAGTGGAAGACTGAGTAAGAGTAGGAGTGGAGATATCCATGAGTTTATAATCAAGGATTTTTATTCCAGGTAAACTTAAGATAAATGATGACTTTTTATTGTGAAGTAGGTGGGGGGTGGGGGCAGGGTGGAGTGTTACCTTTCTGATCTTCACCTTGACATTCCAGAATTGACCCTTGAAAAGTAGCTCCTCCAAAGGGAGAAAGCAAGAGCTCTTCCGGTCCAAAGTCACAACGTGAGCAAAGGAAGGAAGATACCTCTTTCTGGTGTTTTTTCAGAAAGAACAAGGAAATGAAATCAGGAAAATGGTTTGGTGGTTTGTTTGCAACACAATTGTTGGGGTAATAATTCATTAGTAATAACAATTAATAATTATAGGAACAATACATTACTATTTAGTCCTTTGATAATTAGGAATAAACTCACTCTAATTTTTATCATTTAAAAGAGAATGAAGGTATTTATAACATGAAAAATATTGATGTAATGTAGAAATCTGTCAAACCCCAAAGATTAAAAGTTAGCCTTTGGAGTGTGGATCCTAGGATGGTGTTACGAGAGAGAAGTTCAGAGTTATTCATCTCCACCTTTAGTGAATGCCCTCTTTTCTTCTTAGACAAAAGACTTTTGAGATTGATTGCTAAATAATACAGGAAAGGGATTTAACGTCTTCCATATGGCACTAGACTAGAAAATAAAGCTAAAACCAATAGAAACACATGACGATTTGAGCCCAATTCATCTATTTTGAAAATTAAAATTCTGCCATTTCCCTGACCTGCTCCAAATAGTAGTGACGACTCTCACAAAAGATGGCCAAGCACTGGAAGGCAAGTTACTAAATGTTGCCTTGGATCAGATGGCCTTTTTCCAATTGCTAAGATTCTGTTTTAAATTGTTCTTCATCAAAGGCTATTCACATGTCATAAAGTCAAAAAGTCATATGCCAGATTTCTTGATGAAAAATAAGACACATTTAAGTAATGAAAAAAAAATAATAACCAGTGTGCTGGTGCCCTATCATTTTATCTCTGCTCATTTATACAGAAAAATCAGATGCTTGATTTATCCAAGTAGATAAAGATGTTGGTTTTCTTTGGTCACCAAATAGAAATTAGTTCTGTTTCTTTCTTTATTCCAGTGATGCCTCCCAGGTACACAGTGGAACTAGCCTGTGGGTTTGGAGTGACCGTCCTGCTTGTTGTGATTTTGATTGTTGTTTACCATGTTTACTGGCTGGAGATGGTCCTGTTTTACCGAGCTCACTTTGGAACAGATGAAACCATTTCAGGTGAGTAATGGAAGTTTGATGTAGACTTGGTTTACTGTTGTCTTCGAAAGCATGTTTCCATCGGACTATCTTTTACTGTTATTTTTGGAGACCTTTCCAATGTGTATTAGACTTACTCCATAGCTGGTTCAACATGTCATCTAGTCTATGTTATCACTTAACAAATTATGTCCAAATAAAAATACAATGCAAGTCATATACAATTTAAAGGACTTTGTCAGCTATGTGAAAAAGTAAAAAACTTCAGATTAATGGAAGTATAAAATCATGTCTTATTTAACATAGTATATTGACTTTGAGAACCTGTTTCTCAGCATATGATTATTACTGAAAGGGGAATGAGATATTCTAGGGGTTTTGTGGGTACTACAATTCTTTAAAATCCTGTATGTAATTTGTATTTACATCATATCTCAATTTGAACAACCCACATAGCAAGGGGCTTAATCAACCAATGTGTCTGTTATATTGAACAGTGAAGATCCAGATTCTTAGCATTCAAAAGGTAAGCCATGAACCAGCAATATTAGTATCACATGGGAGCTTATTAGAAGGAAACTCTCTGTCCTGATTCCTAATGGGTCAGAATGTACATTCCAACAGTATTCCCAAGTGATTTCATGCACATATTAAAAGTATACAAAGCATTGCTATGTGCAAATTTGCCTGGTAATAAGAATGTGACGTTTGAAAATGTGTATTTAGGTCCATCTCATTTAGACTCTAATTCAGTAGGTTTTTGGAAAACCCACAGGTTTTGGAGCTGTTAATGAGAGGGACTTTTAAAATCCAGCAACTAAAGGAATGACCAAGTTAGTGAATCTAAGTATATTTTACTTGTGCCTTTTTTAGGCATAAATAATTTAATTTCGAAAATGTTCACTCAGTTTATAATTATAATATATAGGTGAGTTCTACTTAAAAAAAATGTTTTGAATGATATTCATTGCCACCACCTAAGATTTACCACCTTATTTGTGACCTGATGACATTACATTTACATTTGAATGAGCCAAACTTTACTCTCTGTCCTATGGAAATTGAACTCAGTGAGATGAAAGTTGAAGACCCATGAGGGGAAATTAAAATAGCCCTGTTCTCTGAAGAACTGTCAAGAGCAGAAATCAGCCCTAACTCTGTCAGATCATTCGTATTTGTTAAAAGAAAGTCAAATACACAAAAGTTTGATTTTAAAAAATGTAACTTATATTGTTCTTTTGCTAGATGGGAAGGAGTATGATATTTATGTATCTTATGCAAGGAATACTGAAGAAGAAGAATTCGTATTACTGACTCTTCGTGGAGTTTTGGAGAATGAATTTGGATACAAGCTGTGTATATTCGACAGAGACAGTCTTCCTGGGGGAAGTAGGTATTTTAAATGAATACAAGCCTGGCTTTCCTGAAAAATAAAAGCTTCGTGGGCTTTGGGTCATGTATGAATCATGACTTAACTCTAAACTGGCACCTTTGAGCATTTAAGCATCCCATTCTTTTATGCAATAGAATTGGCTAACTTTAAAATACTACTTTAAAACTACTTTAAAATATGTGGATTATACTAGCTCAGTTTAGCATGAAAGTATTTTCCTTTATAAGTTTTAAGAATTTATTAAGAAAAGGGTGGATGATAGAAGACTCTCAAATTCATGGATATCAAGTTGCTTCCAACTCATAGAATCCTTAGAGGACAGAATAGAACGCCACAGGGTCTCCGAGGCTATAAATCTTAAAGGAAGCCAACTGTCACATCTTTCCTTTCATGATGTGGTTGGTGGGTTTGAACCACTTGGCTTTTGGTTAGCAGTCTAGATTCTAACCACTTGGGCTACCAGGGCTCCCTCACAGTGGATTACTGTTTCACTAAGTAACACACATTTAAGTCTTCCATGAAGTTTTAACATAATCTGCACTGCTTTTTGTTGAATTTTTTTTCCCAGGTTACATGGTGGACATTAATAATATTCATTATTATAAAATTTGACCTAGTTACAACAAAACATTCTTACCAAGAAAAATTTATGAAAACTAAGTTATAGAAGAGAGTGCATATAATCTTTCCTTACACTACTACTCATCAATAAAAATGAGAATTTTTGCCTTTGGCATTTGCTCATTTTATTTTGTTCCCCTTATTTTCTAGCAAATAAATGCTACTGAATTTCCCTTTTTGATTCATTTCTTTCTTTCTCTGTGTTTATACATTGGAAATACATACTAAAATCTTTTAAAACTAGCTAAGAAAATGGAGTTTCTGAATTAAAAAAAATTTTTAATCTCTCATTTTCAGATCTACCAGTAATACATAAAATAATGGTCCATTTGAATCTATTTTAGTAAACACTTTTCAAATGCAGATAATATCTCTGATCTTGTGGTAAATGAATTTTCTTCATCTGAAAGCATACTTACCTAACATGTATGTATATATAGTATATTACCATTGCCATTGACCACAATTCATGGTGACCACAGGGTCATCAAGGCTGTACATCTTTTGTGGAGCAGTTAGCTTCATCTTTCTCCTACAGAATGGCTGGTGGGTTTGAACCAATGACTGTGGTTAGCAATTCAATGCTTACCTGACCTGGCCACCAGGGCACCCTCATTTCAATAGATTAAATTTTTATTCTCAGGTTTAATTAAAAGGATCAGTTATTTTGTCTTTCCAGTCATCTAATGTCCATCAAACCTGTGTTCTCTGATGCCTTTATCTTTCAGTATCACTTTACTGGGAAATGATGAATTAATTACATAAAGGAAAAATACCACCCACTTTAAGACTTAATTCTCTCAAACCAGGTATTAATTCATACATACGTACATACATACATCCACCGAGCCATTACACAACACTGACCTACAGTGTGAAAAAGTCTGTAACAGTGTAAGTCTCTCCAATAGGGATTGATAGTTCTTTGATGGATTCAAGTTCTACAGAATTGTTTTTGCAACTTGCTTTTGATGGCTAGATTTCGCATCATTTTCCCTTCTCTGTGCCTGTCTGACATAATCCTCTTTGTCTCTGGGTCTCTTTCTTTGCTTACACAAGGACAACCTCCAGCAGTGCTGCCTGAACAATGACAAATCCCTGGTTTCTCTTCCTGGCTTTACCTGCTAGATTGTAATTGCAAGGCTTTCCCCACTGCCTTTGTCTCAGTAAAGAAATGAAGGAGGAGCATAACTGCTGAGGGAAGTTCGGTGAGCCCTGAGATAGATTTCCACAGCACGAGGCCATTCCCTGATGCTTGCTCCTATGTGAACGCCAGGAAAAGGTTTAATCCAGAGATAGATTAGTCCCAAGAATTTGGTGACAGGAAATATTCAGAACCCTTGACAGTAGAATAAAATTCCATCACATTTCCATTTTCTTTCCTGCTTTTTCTCATCTCATCTTCTTTTTGACCCAAAGAAAAACATTTGCCTGTTAATGAAAGCGAGCACATCGGCAGGCAGCTGCTGAAACACATAGCTCTCTAGTAAGAGGAGTTTGAGGAGAGGATTCAGGGATTAATTTAGACAACAACGAGGAGAGCAGAATAAGAAGCTGAGCTGAAAATATGTTTACAGCCCAAATGCCATTCAATTGACTAGACTCTTATTTAAGTTGCTTTTCCAACGACACAATATCAGTTTTCAGCCACTGGGAAGGACCATCAAAAAAAAAAAAATCAAGCTTCAAAATCTTGTTGTTTGGCATGAGCAAAAAATAATATTTTAATTCTATGATGTGTATCTGCTTTGACTATCCGGTGATACTGAACAATTAGTACCTGGATATCATTGAAGAGAAAGTTGGTACAATGACACCACTGGGGAGAAAGGGCTCTGAAGCTTATTTGTTTGGAACACAGGAGTCCACACCATTGGAAGATAACTGATTTCAGGATAATTCCTCTCTTCCTAGTCTCTAGGATTTTAAAGACTGACATCACAGAAATGCACTATTTTGGGGGCTCCAGGCCTCTCTGGAATCCATTTGGATTGTGTGTGTGTGTGTGTGTGTGTGAGACTAGCAGTCCTTCTCCTCACTCTGAGCCATTTGTAGTGCTTATAATTTAACTGTTCATTTCTTATATTTATCTGTATATAATTTAACAGTTCATTTCTTGTTATATATCTAATTATCTTTATAAATAAATATATTTAATTATCAGCAATTTGGTTTTATCTCTCTAGAGAACCCTGTCTAACACAGTCTGTAATTTCCATTCTCCCTGAATAGTGTGGCCTTTAATGAACAGAGTGGTTGGGTTTAAAGATTAAATTGTTCAAAGCTGTTCAAAGTTGTCAGTAAAAAGTTTCCCTTCATTCCTCATCCTGTTACTCTTAGGTCCTTCCCCTTTCCCCTTAAGCCCTGTGCTTCTGTGGGTTCCTTGACCAACACTAACCCCCATGGTGTTTTCTTTCCCAGTTGTCACGGATGAGACCTTGAGCTTCATTAAGAAAAGCAGACGACTCCTGGTTGTCCTAAGCCCCAACTACGTACTCCAGGGAACCCAAGCCCTCCTGGAGCTCAAGGCTGGCCTAGAAAACATGGCCTCTCGGGGCAGCATCAACGTCATTTTAGTGCAGTACAAAGCTGTGAAGGAGATGAAGGTGAAAGAGCTGAAGAGGGCTAAGACGGTGCTCACGGTCATTAAATGGAAAGGGGAGAAATCCAAGTATCCACGGGGCAGGTTCTGGAAGCAACTGCAGGTGGCCATGCCAGTGAAGAGAAGTCACAGGTGGTCTAGCAGTGATGAGCAAGGCCTCTCCTATTCGTCCTTAAAAAATGTATGAAATCGACAATAAAAATGGGTAGAGGGAGCCAAGACTGCTTCAGGAAGAAAGTATTCCCCTTTCTTTTAATACAGGTTTATGGTTTCATGGGCAGCAAAATAGTCTGTCAGAGCTTCCCTATGGGGATAAATTCAGGGTGACCACATAATTGGCTGCTCTGCTTCCTCCGGCGTTACTAAGTGGTACAGTGATCTTATCGCCAGTTTCTCATGTCGCTGTGTTCTTTCCAGGCAAGGACATTGCTGACGTGAATCGATTCTTTTGCATCCCTCTCCCTTTTCCCTTGTGTCTCTCTGCCTTCAGTGTCATCGGCACATTATGGGGCAGACCTTGCCACTCGATTTCATGACCCTTAAAAACAAATCATCTGTTAGCAGGGTCATTCTGAATTTCCGAGTATAGTTTTTCTTTTCTTTTTATGCATCCATTAAAAAATATCATCAGGGCCTAGATTTGTTTAGTTCAAGATAATGAGATCTTTTGCTCATTCTGCTATATTGTATGCTACTACAGCCAGACTGGTGCCCACTTAGGATGATGTAACAACATTCTATCTGAAAATGTTCCTTGACATTGATATTCAAAGACTTACCTGCGGTTTTTTCTACTATACCAGCCTTCCCTTCATTTCAGGCACTTAATTAATGTCATTTTTAACAAATCATAAATTTTATTATTTCTGTACAGTGATCATGTGGAGTTGAAGCCATATTTATCGTTGTCATCTCCCCAGCTCCTGTACCTTGTATCATTCATGGTGATTTGCTTCTGTATGAAAGGAAATGTCTTCTAATGGTGCTAATAGAGGGTAAGATAGCTGCAAGGTACTTTCAGAGGATTTCCCGGCTTGTGAGGAGTGCATCAGATCAGGCCTGTGGCAGTTTGTCTTTTAATCCCAGCCTAGCTAAAGAGAAATGCTGGGAAAGTGATTTTACCTCATTTATTTTTGTCCTTACATTGTAAAATGTGGGGATTTAGCCCAGTTGCTTGAATTGAAAGGCCTTTTTAGCATTATTATTCTGCTGGGATTAGTTGGACCCTGATACTCGCTATATTTTTCTCACTGGTACAGTTAATAAATTCACTCCAAACCATTTCACTGTCAAAGAACATTTGTTTGTTTTAAACGGTCCAAAAGACTAAAAACAACAGAAGCAAAGTCCAGAGTTTACCGAGTGGTGAATATCTATATTACATGTAGATATATATCCTCATATTCACTGAAGTATGTATATTTGTATGTCTGTGTATGTGTGTATATATATCATATGTGATTGTGTGTATATGTGCTTGCATATATAGAGAGAGATATAGATAGAGAGAGAGAGACTTCAAGAAGTTTGTGGCAAAATGGAATTAAAAGATAATGGAATTTTTTGCAGCCCTGTCATTTACATGCTTGGGACTTTAAATGGTTCATGGCATGATGCTATAATCCACTGAATGCTTGTCTAGTTTTACTTATGCTTCTACTGTAATGCTTTTGCCAGACTCTTTTCTGTACACTAATGTTTTTTGTGAATTCACAGCTCACAGAGTGGTGGGAGGCTTTAGTGCCTGCCCCCTGCTTCAGTTAGAAGGAGTGTCATGGAGCCCGTTACACACAGAGCCATTGGCATTAGTTAATTACTTACTATGGTCCCAGAAGACAGGCATAAAAGTAGCTTATGCTGATCTTAGTGCTCAAGAGCTGGAGATGTAAATCTCTATTTGGTCTGGTGAGTAATAAAAGAAAGGAGAATAAAATATCTACAAATAGGTCTAGGTATGGTTGATGATTTAAGGAGGCCCATATCCTAATAGTATGAATGCTGCTAAGTGATTCTGAAATGTCTCCCACATTTATGTCCTTCCTTTGTACTAAAGTACACAAAGAGTAAATTATGTCTCCATGAAAGAGTTATTGATTATTTTACATTGAATCTGACTAAAAAACTAAGATATGGCATCACTTTCAGGTCTAATTGTTTTAATGTGGAGAAAGCTTTTTCTTATTACAAGTTACCATTACTCCCTGTTTACTGCTCATTCACAAGACCAGAGAGCCATCAGGTAAACTACACGCCAATCCGCGCACATGCTCTAAGCAAGCCAAGGGCACTCAACACCAAGAGGCATAACTTGGCCAGCTTTTCTGAACTTTTTGATTCCATATTTTCAAAATGTTGGGTGACTCTAGAAACTCCTTGATATGTATTTATTTTTTCCTGTATATACAGCTACCTTTAGTACTGGACTTTTCCAAAAGATAAAATCTAAAGCACCTCAATTCTAAGTGATATAACTCAACCTGAGAAAACTTGATTCAAGATTTTGGGTTTGTTTTATATTCCAGAAGATGCCTAGTACAAGAATACTCTAAGAGGAGAAGGAAACCTACCGGTAATTAAGTGAATGAGAAGAAATCCAGTCTCCACTGTTAAAAGAAAAACCTTTCACACATATAATCAAAAGATGTTCGGCACCCAAGTTAACAAAGAGCCTTGAGAGATGTATAGTATGTCTAATATGCAGTCATACAAAGTTTATTTAATTTTCCTCTGTATTGCAGCACAGATGATTTTGTAGGGTTCTCATTGTATTGGAATGCAAACATATCACTCCACTTGTAAACCGTCATTTTGTTTTCATATTTTAAGATTTCTTTTTTTATTTTCTTCATGTACTTTTATATTTTCCATATTTCATTTTATTTGTAAATTTGCTTATTTTTTAAATAAACCATTTATTTTCAGCTGTGAATTTTATTTTGTGCATGTGTTTTATGTCTTTATTATCATCTATAGGCATAAGGAGAGAGGCTACAAAAATCACTGATAACTTTTAAAATAAGAAAAGTGATAAACCACATTAGTTAAGTTTCTCTTTCTGAGATTAATCTCGGAAAGAAACAGGACCTTGTTCATCTCAACAAAATTTCCTTTTATGGAGAGGCTTCAAACAACTTTAGAAAATAGATTTGAAATATCATAGAATTTTTCCACAAACTTTTTAAAGGCCCCCTCATATGTGATCAAATGAAAGCTGACTGTGTGAAATGGATCAGACTAATACACATGGAGTGTGTGTGTGTGTGTGTGTGTGTGTCTGTGTGAAGGCTGTACTCATTTTATATATTTATATAATATCAAAAGAGAAACAACATAGTTTTAAACAGTGATACAAGCCTATTCCTTTCTGCTCTATTTGACCAACTTATGAATATCATTTACCTTTTATAGGTTTTAATGCAAGAAGCCAGTGATGCTTTATTATAGCATCAAGGAATCAATGCTTACTTTCAGTTCATGATCTTTTAGAAAAAAAATTACATTATATCACAGACTTCAAACCAACATTTCTTTTGAGTTAATAATATATTAAATCGTGATAACAGGGAGATGATCTTGCTTTAAAAAAATCCCTATTCATTTATTTACTTCAAGAATATTTATTGAGCCCCTATAATGTGCTCTAAAATAACATAGTAAACATTTGTCTACTGAAGAGTTTTCCTCTTTTAAATAAGTCACAAAATTTATACTTATAGGATCAATGGATGAAAGTTAAAAAGAAACAGATAATATTCAATAGGAAAAAACTTTATACACAGTTGAACAATGGTGAAATTAACTAATAAGAGATACTAGGTTTCCCATTACTAGACCTACACAAGCAGAAATCTGAAAAATTTTTATTGAGTTTTTATATGTGTGCATTTTGCTTTGGATAAGTGGTGATCAGTCTGGAGTTGACTTCAACTCTAGATATATTCAATGAACTAAAACATACTTTTAGAAGTTTCAAAATCAGAACTTTAAACTTCATCTACCAAGCTATCCCTGGCCTTATTATATCTCCCAGGAGCCTTTCTTCATTTATTTCTTGATATCACTAGGTCTTCAACACTGAGGTAAATTTGAAATATGGTCTGAGAGACACATTCAATAACTTCTCTTTTCAACCTGGTGGATGTAAGGTAACTTAACAAGGGACTAGGAGAGGAAGTGTTTCAGCATTTTTTACCCAAACTTATTTTAAACTATAGCCCTAAAATAAATCCTATTTTTCTTTATAGATCTTGTGCATACTCTAAAGTTAATATGCAGAATTGAGCCAGAGTCCATAAATATTAGACTACATTATTTTAATATTGTGTCCATTAGACATTAAATAGTATTAACTTAATGAAAGCTATTTATTTATAGTTCAATATGCTATTGCCATTGTTTTTGTTAAGTCGACCCCCATTTAATGGCAAGCCAATGTGGTACAGAGTAGAACGATTCCATAGGGTTTTCTTTGCTGTAATCTTTAAGGAAGCAGAGATCTTCAGGCCTCCCTTCAATATATTCTCTGGGTTGGTTCAAACTGCCAAACTTTAGTTTAATATCTATAGCAAATTGCAAGTGCATACATTTACATATTAAAAAACAAAACACTCACTGCCATTGAGTAGATTCCAACTCACAGCGACTCCATAGAATAGGGTAGAACTGACCCCGTGGGTTTTTTGAGGTTGTAATTCTACAAACTTAGAAAACCTCATCTTTTTCATGTAAAGTGGCTGGTAATTTCAAACTGCTGGCATTGTGGTTAGCAGCCCAATACATAACCACTATGCCACTCTGCCTGATTTTACATATAAGTATCTTTAATTTTTTTTTTAGCAACCCAACACATTTACTCCCCCTATGTGCATTTTATTGTTAGTGCTACCATTGAGTCAGCCCTGACTCACAGTGGCACCACCCAGAACAGAACAAAATGCTGTCCAGTCCTGCAACATCACTGGTATCAGCAGTGGATTAAACCATTGTGCTCCATCGGATTTTTTTGTGTGGCTAATTTCTGGAAATAGGGTACCAAGCCTCTCTTTCTAGTCTATTTTAATCTGGAAGCTACACTGGAATTTATTCAGCATCATAACAACGTGTAAACTTCCATGGACAAGTGGGTGGTGATGCTGTGTGATGTAGATTGGCAAAAAAGTGGACGTAGTTCTCTGATAATGAAGGAAACAAATCTACCAAGGAGTTTCCTGTGCTTCACATAAGCGAAGATGAAAAAATTAGGCTAAAAATACTAAAATGAACTCAGAGTTAATAGGGAAGCCAAGATTTTAATTCTTATCTGATTCTAAATCAGGTGCCCCCTCCTTTTGTTGTTTTTGCTACACATCAAGGGAAGACAGGTGTATTGAGTTTTCGCCTACCAGCCACCTAGCTAACAACAACAAAAAAGCATTCCTAGTTTATCCTCTTGATTAACTCAGGGAGATGATCACTTCTAAAATAAGGAGTATGTGAACTACTGAATTCTATACCAGAAAACATAACTCCAGAACCAAAATGCTACGCAAAGAGTTACACCTCATTTTTTCAGTCCTACCAGAATAAACCATCTAATTTATAGTTCAATTTCCAAGTAATTTTTTTAAAAAGAAGCAGTAATTGCCATCCTCAAATATGAAGATTTAACATTGGAGAAAGAAGGTATTAAAATAATATGACAAAGAATCGGCCTCCTTTGAAGTACCAAGTAAGGGCCCTTAGTGAGCTCAACACGCACCTGAGAAGCACATCTCTCTTTCCAATGTAAATACCCAACTTACAGGGTGGAGTGCTGGTTTGAAAAAAAGTCACAAACTTTAGGGACAATTTTCTTTAGATCTATGACAATGCTCTTTTATCAACAGTGGTATCCCCATTGGCACACACCTACATTCTCTTTAAGTAATGTTTTCAAAGTAAAACACACACAAAAAGAATAAGTGCAAATTTAGATTTCTGTTTCTAAAATTGAAATTTGAACTATCTAAAATACTTTAAACTCTTGTTAAAACCAGACTCATGTTCCTAAGATCTGATTCCATGTGACTTCTGGGTTCTTTCCAAATTAATGTCAAGTTCACAAATTAAAAAGAATTAATTTGGTAAGAAGCACAGTTTCTTCATTCCCAGTCAAGTTCATTATCAAATATACTGCAAACTTCCAGCTTGCCTTGAAGACTAAAAAGTCCCTCAGTCAATTTTGCCCCTGGTCCCAAATACATTTGACATTCAACCTTATGGATTGACTCCAGTTCTTGTTTCAAAATTGTCAATGGCTGATTTATCCATTAGGAATTCCTTTTCTTCAGAAAACCACACTGTCTGCATTCAGTGCTAACAGATCTCCAAGTGAGGTAATCACTACTTCTATTTAACAGACTTTCCATTGGGATCTGTCCAAACCCAACTCAGTCATGATTAGTAAAGAATGGTTGGCCAGAGATCTTAATGAATTGACAGATTCTTACACATTGTCACCATGCCCCTGTCA